GACAATATTTCCACCTATTGTTTTCTTCTTCATCTCCTGACTGTTTTGTCGTGCCGAACTATCTGATACATTTCAACATCTTTTTTATTTATTTTTTCTTTTCTTTTTGGCAAGTCGGAGCTTACCCAAATGTGCAAAACTTGTTTGGAGAACTTGGCATCAATGACCAGCTGCAATGGAAGGAGCATTCTATGATGTTTGCAATGCCAAATAAACCTGGAGAGTTCAGCCGATTTGATTTTCCAGAAGTTCTACCTGCACCCATAAATGGTAAACCACTTAAATACATGGTAACTAAAGTTTGTATATGTTTGTACAAATCTATGAAAATGTGTTTTTGCTTTTACAAACAGTAGGAAAATAGAACTGCCTGTTTGTGTACCTGTTTTGATTTAATTGGTTGGCTGTAGACAACACCTTGTTCTAAATGATTAATTAATATTGGGGACAAGTTTTTCGGTCTTGTCGCCATTCTATCTTATAGGTTAGTCAATATATTCCAGTTTGCTATTGATGTTTCTTCTTTCCATTTATGTGTATTTATTGTCGGTCACCCAAATTGCTCATGGCCTTTCCCTTAGTTTCCTTTAGTTGTTTGTCATAGTAGAAAACATAAGACTGAAGCATTAGTTGTCCTCATTAGGTCCTGGTAATCCAAGATTGTTTAATTTGGGGCTTCTTAGGACCAACCTTATATTCAAGACAGGTTTCTCCACTTATTGCTAATTGATTTTAAGTTGTATGCCTTTTAATTGAAGATTATTGTTTTGCTTTCTTGAAATCTTGAACTCTGAGAGTTGGGCCACTTTTGGAACTACACTAGATTGTGGCAGAATGTTGACTTCCTCGGTTTATCAAGTTTTCATTTATCAAATTGGCTCTGTTTCAGCATATTCAATCCAAAAGGGATTCTAATGAACCCACTCTTTTGCGTATGAACTTTCCAGGCTCTTCATATAGGAAATGAGTCTTTCGGTGTTTCTAAGTCTGCCAATGAGCATGTGAATGAGAACAGCTCATAACGGTTGGGTGTAAGGGGTTTTGGGAGGATGACCAATTATAATTTCTTGATCTTTCAACGATGGGTTTTCTTCTTGTTGTGGCCATGGTAGGAAATTTGCAAAAGCTCTTCATATCTTATTTCTCTATGTTTGCTTGTTCCCTGTTTCAATTGTTTAATCTTTTTTTCTGGTGTGATTGAGACAAATCCCTAGATTATTTGCTTGTATTTTCGTTCTGTAAGGTTTTGATCTAGGAATAGATCTCATCTTTTGTTATTATTTATTTTTATTTTTGTCTTGTCCATGTACGTAGGAAGCCATACCTTGTTGGGGGCTGAATTACATTCCCCTTTTAGAATGTGTCTGATCCATATTAGTGTTGGACCCATTGGGGTAATTGGGAAACTATGTTTTGCCCTTATCATTTAAATTTATGTGGAATTTTTTCTACAGACGCTGAATGCCAGGACTAACACCTACGAAAGTAAAAAATTACAATTTGCTTATATCTCCTATCAATGTAAACTGACAGGGATATGGGCCATTTTGAAGAACAATGAAATGCTGACTTGGCCTGAGAAAGTGAAGTTTGCAATAGGACTCTTACCAGCAATGCTTGGTGGACAACCTTATGTTGAAGCCCAAGATGGTTTAACTGTTAAAGAGTGGATGAAAAAGCAGGTATGTCAGTTATTTTTTTGACAAAATTCTCCTTTCGAGGCTATTAGCATGTACATAAATGGTATGGGTGCAAGTTTGGCTGGTGTCTGAGTGGTGAGCTTAGTTCATCCTGATAAAAAACTTCCCAAAAAGAGCCTCGTCAACTTTAAGCTCTGCTCATATAATGGTGCAATTAATTTGCTGTCCTGTGGTTGCATGCATGTATGGGTCTGATACAGAGTTTTAAGCCTTTACCAAATACATGATACATTTCTTGCTTGAGAAAGGTGCATAAGAGTACAAGTATAATAGAACAACAATCCTTACGCCTGGATTTGTTTGAAGTCACTTGGGGTCCCTGAGGAGTCTCATTTCTGTGCTATATTCATAGTATTAAATGTGTGCATGACTGTCCATTGATTTTAGTGCTGGTGCTTCATTTTATATGAGTGAAACATGAAATATCATGATGCTAAACTTTTAGATGGGAGAAAAGTATTGCCGAAGGCTTCTAGGAAAATGGAAAAAGGAAGAGGGGGAGGGAGAGGGAGAGGTGTGAATTTATGAAATTGTGTAACAAAAGAAACTTTAGAAACCAAGTTGCCTTGTGCGGAGTTATATTTAGTAGAGTGAACTTTTGTAGGTGATGCAAAGTCTATCAGTTAATGTATGCATTAGCCTCTACATTCATTTAAATAATGCCCATGCGTCATTGTTAATGAATCTGGTATGAATTGCATTAAGTAGCAAAAACTCGTTAAATGATTAAAAATAAAGAAAACTGGTTTCATCATTTTCTTTTTCAGGGCATACCTGATCGTGTGACTGATGAGGTGTTTATTGCCATGTCAAAGGCACTGAACTTCATTAACCCCGATGAACTTTCAATGCAATGTATATTGATTGCTTTGAATCGATTTCTTCAGGTGTGGTTCCCTTGTTTGGCCCACTGGTTTTATATTTATAACTTCATTATGTTGGATTCAGAATCAGCAACAAAATCATCAAATGATCCATGGTTGAATTGTACTTGAAACAGAAACTTATGCCATACGTCAACGGTAGTGACATTATTTGTGTCCCAAAGGAATCTATAAATATGAAACTTGGACACCTCGATTAATACATCATTATTAGATCGAGCAACAGACAGGTAATTTTAATTTTGGCTCATTGGATGTTCTCCAATCACTTTGAGATAGCATGTTTTCTTGTACTCTTATATGCTAGAGTCCAGAAGCATCTACAGATGGTGAAGCTTTTGTAATTTGTACTGCAAACAAGGTTCATTGAATATACATTTGTTGGATAGTCATATTCATTCATTTTTATACAGTCGAGGTTATACAAAATAAGGAAAGCAAGGTATAACAACATTACGCTAGCTTGCTAAGAACGTATGAAAATCCAACTACAGGAGAAAAATGGCTCAAAGATGGCATTCTTGGACGTAAACCCCCCTGAGAGGCTTTGCATGCCGATTGTTAATCATATTGAATCACTGGGTGGTGAGGTCTGGCTTAACTCACGAATAAAGAAAATAGAGCTCAATGATGATGGAAATGTGAAAGGTTTTCTTCTAAATAATGGCAATACAATTGAAGGAGATGCTTACATAATTGCAACTCCAGGTATACACTGTTTCCTATTGAATAGTACTATTTAGCTTTACTAGATTACCGGCTTCTCTAATAATAGCTGATGGATGTTGAACTTGTCAGTTGATATCCTCAAGCTACTTTTGCATGAAGATTGGAGAAAGATTTCATACTTCAAGAAATTAGATAAATTAGTTGGAGTTCCAGTTATCAATGTTCACATATGGTTAGTAACAAATTCTATTGTTTGTTCAAACAATTCATTGGTATTGCTATTGGTCTGTCTCATTCCCCAACCCTTTTCTAAATCTTTGCACTTCATAAAGATGTTGTTTGAAGTAAGTACATCCCGTTGACTTTCTATTGATATCTTTTCAACTGATTGAACATGGAAACTTAAAAGAAGTGTTACGGGAAGAAACTATTATATGTGGGTATTGATCTTGACCATGAGCTGAATGGTTGAGTGCTGATGCAGCATATTATAACCCAGTTTGAGAGCACCTAGGGTATAGAGTCCCACATCAGAACAGTGCTGGAGAAATGAAGGACTGGTATATGTTTTTCAGCCCTTCACAAAAGATATTGCTCATCATTTACATTATGTCCTTCATTTGATATGCCCTCTAAGCAAAAAGCAGGAGTGTTGGGCATGTGCTATGACTCTCTAGGTTGCATAGACTTTTAAGAGTAGTTTAGAAGAGCATGCATGTGTTTCCTATTGTTGTTATGTCGTGCAATTTTATTATTTTCATGGCAGCATCTTTAAGCAGTATTAATAAGCTTTGGGCTTTTGGTTGAATGTCCCGTGGTTTTCTTTTATTTTCCCATTGAAAAGGGGACAAACAAAGGGCGATTTATTTGAGGTTATATAGACAAGGGGTAGTTCATTTGAGGCTATATCATGGCCAATGCTGTACAGAGTCATAATGAGAGGGCAAAATTGTGGATTACTTTTCAGTGCTCATAAGCAGAGTGGAGCTTAACTCAAAGCCCAATATGGTCGAAATTCACATGCAAGGGGTAATTGTTTAGTGGAGATCGCTGGAAGCTGTTTCTTACGTCAATGACCAGCAAGAAAAATGGAGGATTCATGCATCACAAGTTTAGACCAATATTAAAACCTTTAGGTTTTACATTGTCCCCAACACCGTACACTGATCTCCCATCAGAATGCAGCATTATTTTTGTTCAGAGTTCTTGTAGCAAGCATTGTTGTCTCTAATTTCTTATTAATTCACTGCACTCCACTGATGAAATGAATTTAGTGATACATGCTTGCTATTCCCTTGTAAACAGATGCATTATTTTCTATAGTGCTACGATACTCAGATCTTTTTTGGGTTTCAAGACTGCAATATGTATATATTTATACCTTTCCCACCAAAATTTAATGTGAGAGCCCATGGTTGAGTGGTGTACATTATCTCCATTTGCAGGTTTGATAGGAAATTGAAGAACATCTATGATCATCTACTGTTCAGCAGGTCTTCCTACTTCATTCATTAGCCCTTTAATTTGCCCCCTCTTTGCTATATGTTTAGCTCTCGTGCTTGTTATCTGCCTGCCCCATGGTAGCTTTATGAATTTTTACTAAACGTCTTTCTAAATTCATGATATTCATGTAGAAATGGAACTAGAATAAATTTTGAGGAAGAAAGTTATTTGCTTATAAGAAAGTGGAAACCATAGTGTAGGGATATTATTACTTCCTGTCTAGGGTCTCTGCCTATTGATAGCCAAGCAATGCCTGAAACAAATGGAGGTAATCATGTGTCCAATAGTCATCAAACTCCAGTTTCCCAATCTAAGGCAGAAGGTAAGCAACCTATTGAAGTCACTGTTATTGATGAACATGGGAAAATTACTTACAAAAATTGACTTAGCCTTGGAAGGGGAACCTATTAATTATTGGCAACTGTCAAATCCAAAGAACGGTTGGATATAGAAGTGTAATTTTAACTCAACCTTCCATGAGAATTGAGAAAAAGGAAAGTTTGAGAAAGTAATAATTATAAAAGAATAAAATGATAGGTGCAGAGACATTACTGTTACTCTCCCTTTAAATAATTTTTTTCGTTATATAAAAGAGGTTAACTGCATTAGCTTTTTGTCTCCTCATTCATGCATGCAACCACTAATTAATGATTTATTGTTTTATGCAGGAATATTACAATCCAAACCAATCCATGCTGGAGTTAGTTTTTGCCCTTGCTGAAGAATGGATTGCACAGAGTGACTCAGAAATTATTGATGCTACAATGAAGGAACTTGCAAAGCTCTTTCCTGATGAAATTTCTGCAGATCAGAGCAAAGCAAAAGTCATAAAGTACCATATTGTTAAAACACCAAGGTTAGATTGAGTGCATTCTTTCAGAATCTTTATTAGTACTTTCTTTTTAAATCAAATCCAAGCCATTGCTTGAAATGTTATGCCATGGCTGAAAAATTCATGGCTGGTGATGGCTTCCCCTTATATTCATATAGTGATGCATCAAAGAGTATAATTGTGCTAGAAACATGTAACATAAATATTTATTTCAAATTTTTCATGGAAGCTTTTAATGCTATATTGGACAAACTTTCGTACAATCTCTAAACAGGATTTCAGTAGCATTACATACGTATGTTTGCACATGCATGCATGACTGCATTTATCTATATGTGGAACTGTACACCTATATTAAATGGATTGCAGGCCTTAAATCAATTTACATTTGTACCTTGGTCACTAGATTCCTACTGAAAGTAAAAGCTAATTATCATTTCAGATCTTTATATAAAACTGTTCCAAATTGTGAACCCTGCTGCCCCTTGCAAAGATTTCCGATAGAGGGGTTCTGTCTGGCAGGCGATTACACAAAGCAAAAGTATTTAGGTTCAATGGAAGGTGCTGTTCTCTCAGGGAAGCTTTGTGCACAGTCTATTGTACAGGTACTTTTTGCATTATTTTGCGCTGCCATGTTGCTATAACTGAACCGGCATAAGTTTCATTTTTTCCCGCATAAAGTGCAATTACTAGTTGTCTTAGATGCCAAACCTGTTGCTATACACTATGCCAGGAGAGTCTTGTAAAGGTGGCAATAAGTCCATACAATAGGATGATGAAATGAAATTATCTGTTGTGCTTGTTTCAGATCTTCTAATGTATTGAAATATGTAGGATTACAAGTTGCTTCTTACTTTGGGACAAAGAAAGTTGACAAGAGCAAACATTCACTGATGGCTTTTATGTTGAAAGCAAAAATTCACAAGTTCGATTGTTCAAGGCCAGGAGGTTAGTGGTCTCTCAGCAGTACACACACACACACACACATATATATATATATATCATATACCCCTATAAAATCTGTAACATGTGCAAAGACATCATCACAAACTGCATGTAAAATTCTTTTGATGGAATTTGTATGATCTTCAATTATCCTGTTAAAAGAAAAAAAAAGAAAAAGAAAAGGAATCTATATAATCTTCATCATTCTAGCAACTTCTAAGTTTTTGAGGAATCGTCATCATAAATAATCATAATCACAATTATGCTGTAGAATACATTATTCATCCTTAAGTCAACAAATTAAGGTAGAAACACTGAGTTCATTGACATTGCAACCCCACTAGATTGAGTGGTAACCTGTAAGTTAGAAATTGAGGCTTCCCTTTTGTAGAAAGATTAAAGTGCGAGAATGGAAGGGGAAAAGGAGAAACAAAAAATATTTTCACTAGTGTTTAATTCGATAGGTGAGAGAAGAGGGATAGAGTTATGTTTCAGGCTATTTATTTAGGAACACTTGTAGTATATCCTTACTTAATCTCTTTATTTCTTGTATATCTGCTTCTTAATTTTAGAGAATTATTACTCACATAGCAAGGCTTTGTTTTGGTAACAACTAGTTATGACCCTTTGTTACCGGCCGAGTAAATTTTTTCTTCTCGCTATTGGCATGAAGAGGAGGACACCTATCGGGAGATAACCGCTTCCTGCATGAACAAGACAAATTGGTCCTTTCCCCTCTATTAGATTTCTCTGAATCTCTTCATTGACCTTCTTTCCTACAATAATCCTGAAAACAAAAAACAAAGTACTGAACGATAGATAGAATCCAAAACCTAGAAGAACGTTACACTACAATGATAGTTGTTGTTTTTTTTTTTTTTTGCCCCTTTTGGTTATAACTTACATTACATAGGTAACAATTACCAAAGTGAGTGCTTCTGGTTGAAATTGGAGGCAAGAGTAGTGAAAGTGATTGTAGCAGGACAAGTATTGAAAGAACAGGGGAAATCTTACAGGACATGTTTGCAAAAAAACCTGGGTTCTGGTTGAAACTAATGGCAGCTATATCGGATTAGGTTGTGATATTTTGGAGGAGAAAGAGGAATTTGGAAGTCAATTTTCTTGCTGAAAGGGAATGAATATATTGTTACCGGTGATAAACAACTGCATATAAAATAAGAACATTTGGGGTTCATGCTTCATAGACATGATAATTCATATTTGTATCACGTTTCTTTCATATCAAACATGAATAAAATACGAAAATTATTATGTTATAATTCGTGTTGATACGAAAATATAAATCGTAATTTTTTGTTTTGTCAAACTCATGATTTATATCAAAATTTTAAACCATATAATTTTTATATTAGGTCCGAAGTTACTATATTTAGTTGTTCTGTGATGGAGAGTCTTGTCCATTAGGTATTCATTCTAAAGTCTTCATTTTCCTTTTTGATAATTCCTATATGAACGCTTGGCGGCCTCGTTTTTCTCGTTCACTTTCTGAAATTTCAAAATGATGGCAGTGATGGCATATGTTAGATCTCCACAATCATCGTCACTCAGGCACCTATTTGACTTAAAAATCAATGCAAAGAAGCATGGTATCTTCTTTTACATGTATGAAATAATATGAACTTCGTCTTCACTTGTTGGTATACCAAGAACAACAGTTGGAAGTCAACAATACTAAATCTTTTTTTTTTTTTTTCATATTTATTCTAATCAATCATGACATTTGAAACGGAGATGGTCTTAGGCATGCATTTGAGACCTTCCACAACGGGTGAGAGGAAAGTAACGAGAGGAAGAAAAAATGAAGTAAAAAAGAGTTTGAAATTAAAACAAGGATGAGCTGAACCACACAGGCAGATATATTACAAAGAAAAGACACCAAAGGAAGAAAGTTTAACAAGTACTGTTGGAAACCAACTAGGAGTATGTATCCAATGGCAGAGTTACACTATCGTTTATGATTGACCTAGACGTTGAACAAGAAGCAATAGCCCAGGGTTCGATCATCTCATCTGTATCAGAATCTTCATCCACACTTTGTTCAATAGCATTAGCTTCTTCTGATGCTTTAATCCTCTCCAGCTCCATTGCAACTTGTTTCATCGTGGGCCTTTTCTTTCCATTAAGATTCAAGCTTCTCTTCGCAAGCTTTGCAATTGCTATAATCTCTTTTTCTGTACCATTATTACTTACCATTGGATCAAGAATGTCAAATAGGGAATTCTCGTTCATTGTAAGCAGAAAAAAGTTCACCAAGCTTCTCACTTCCTCTGATTGTACCGAGGAGATGGGTTTTTGTCCGGTCAGAAGTTCAACAAGAACAACCCCAAAACTATAAACATCACTCTTCTCTGTAAATTGACTAGACCGAAAATACTCCGGATCCAAGTATCCGAATGTTCCTTGTACTTGAGTGGTTAGATGAGTTTGCTCAAGTGCAATTGATCTTGAAATTCCAAAATCTGACACTTTTGCTCTGTATTTATCATCCAAAAGTATGTTGCTAGATTTGATGTCTCGATGATAAATAGGGGCAGAAGCAGCTGAATGCAAATAGGATAAAGCATTAGCAATTTCAATTGCAATTCGAAAACGCATTTCCCATGTCAATGGGAATTCTTCATTTTGGTCATGTATGAGTTGAGAGAGTGTTCCATTGGGGATGAACTCATACACTAGTAAAGGAACCTTTGTCTCCAGGCAACATCCTAAAAGCCTAACCACATTTCTATGGTTAATCTGTGATAAAAGTATCACCTCATTGATGAACTGTTCAAGCTTCTTTTCATCAACTTTCTTCTCTTCCACCATTTTAGACTTCTTGATTGCCACAATGCTTCCATCAGTTAACATTCCTTTATAAACAGTTCCTTGGCCGCCTTGACCGAGGATTCGATTCTTGTTATAGTAATCTGTCGCCTTTTCCAACTCCTTCGATGTAAACAACCTTATTTTTTCAACATTACCTTCATTGCTGGACAATTGTTGTTGCAGAAGTAAACCTCCATTCCTTTTAAAGTATTTTTGCTTCATCTTGATGGTTTTTCTCCTTTTTAGTACTTTGTACAGATTCCATGTGCCAAGTAGCACAAGTACTGTCCCAGTACTAGTGCTGCAACCTGTATAGGAAACATAATTTATTATGCAAAAGGTAAATTTGCAAATTAATATATATTAAGAAAAACCATACATGCATTTCAACATGATTCATATTTTCTATCTTTAAGAAAGTGAATTTATCAGCACTTATAGCTTTATCTCAGGTACTGGAATTTTAGTATGGATCTTTTGTTTAACGAAGACGTAGTACTTCTCCCAAGAAGAAAACTTAAATAAAAAAAAAATGTTAAGAATAGTCTCTAACACTATAGTAAAATATTTAATGCCATGGTATTTGAATTTTAAAAATTTTGAATTTGATATATGAATTATGAATCTGTTAATTAATGTGATATTTATTTTTAATATGATTAGTTACAAATAATAATATGTGACGATAAACAGTTATCCAAATATCATATTAGTTAATAGATTCATGATTCAAATATTACGTTAAAAATTTTTCAGATATCATATTAAATATTTTATTATAATTCAAAGATTATTCGTAACATTAACTTAAAAAAATTTTTAATGCGTACCTATAATAATCGGTAAATTATAAGACTTTGTAGAATTTGGTAAATCATCAATGGTAATGCACCAATCATCAGCACTTGAGTATTCATATGTAGCAGGGCATGGCGACGAACAATAGTTGTCAGGGGTATTCAAACAAAGCATATGACAGTACCTGTGTTTAAGATTCCCGCAACTGCCTATATCTGTCGTTTATGGAATGAATAAATGAAGTTATGTTCTTGCAAAAATATGTTAATTAAGATAATGCCAAAACAAATAAAAGTTTAATTTTTTTTATATTGTGTAAATTTTCAATATCTGAGCCCACACAAAATATATATATTTTTGTGGCGTAGCAAGACTTGTATTAGTACGATACCTTGGCATACATCACTATAATAATAATCGTTGTCAGAATTCACATCCACGCTGCAAACACATAGATGGCTGTCGCTCAATCTTGCCCAACAATATTGACCACTGGAGCTGCAAAATGTCTGTGAACCATTCAAATTACACGACCCACGTATTGGTCTGGCCCATTGCAGTGCCGTAGGAACGTGTATATCTTTCGGCGAAACCCAGTGCAGTGCTGTAGGAATGGGTCCAAATGGCAGTGTTCTGGGATCGAGGTTTGTTCCAGGTGAATCCAACAAACTTACGTCGATCATGAAAGCAGACCCACATGATTTCCTGCTGCCATCACTAGGATAAAACTCTGTCATGTTTGCAATAAAGGAGCTGAGACCCGGAGGTATTTTCGCATGGCAGATATCATTGGAGGTCACAATATTGCTACAACGGGGTTGCAGGCAGCCAACAACAGGATAATCAGTTGGATTACGAAGAATAGTAGCCAAACTACCGCAACCTACAGACACGAATCTGTTGAAAATATGGGAGAAGAAAAAGGGGCTGCCTGTTAAGTTGACACTAAGCCCATTATTATCTTCACTTTTATTGCGGCAATTGAAATAAGTTACTGAATTGTTGACGATGACTCTGCCCAGGGAAAATGAAACATTAAGTAGTTGCATGTTGATGCTACTTATGAAAGGCTTTGGCCCATCACCGGTTTCTTTGCAGCTTACTCTGAACGATTCATTCATGTAACACCCGAGTTTAATTCCAAATGGGTATGTAATATTAACCTTCCCACATCTTTCAATACAGACATGCTTGGGATGTGCAGGTTCTGGGCCAACTTGTTCTACTTCTTGGCAACGTGCGGCTGCTTAGCAAGAACAGAAGCACCGATTAATAACAATAATAATAATAATAATAATAATAATAATAATAATAATAATAATAATAATAATCATAACAATGATGATGATAATGATGATGATGATGATGGTCAAATTAATTTTGATAAAATTAAAAATAGTGATAGTGATGAAATTAATATATGTAATAGTAATATTAAAATTAGTGGATATATATTTGAATGCAAAATTATTAGTGAAAATAATATTATAATGAAAAAATAAAATAATTGTTAATAGTATTACATTAAAAATTATATGTAATAAAAAATTTAAATTAATTAATATTTATAAAATTTAAAAATTATTAATTATTTTTATGACAAATGATAATTTTTAATAAATAATTAAAAATAAAAAATAATAATATATCAAATAATAATTTTAGTAAATTAAATTAAAAAAATTTTTAAAAATTTTTTAAATAAAAAATAAAAGAAAAATTAACAAAGTAAAAAAAATAAATTGTAAGGTATTTTTGTATTTATAATAATTATTAAAGAAAAAAAAAACCAAATGAATCTTCGATAAAACATTAGACTAACAACGACTAGTGAAAAATCGACGTCAATGACACTGTCCAATTAAAACCAAATGCAAATTTTCACATTATACAACGTAATTAGCACAATCTTCCAATGCAATGGCACCCGATTAAATCTAAAAGCAGCCTTATTGATAAAATAACTTAGATCGTGCTTAAAATTTAAAAATTTATTGAAAAGTATTGAGAAGAATTTAAAAAGGAAAGAGAAGAAAAAACGCAAATGGATTTGCAGGAGACAGAAGTGGGTGTGGTTTGTCTCTGTTTCCTAGTAGTCAGTTTTTTTTATTTTGTTTTATATTTTTTTTCACAAGGCTAAAGCTGATACGATTAAAAAAAAAAAAAAACTGGGTAAACCCTGCATGTATGTATCTCATGTAGTTTGTCTCACATTTTCTGTGATGTGCCACTTTCTAATTTATGTTTTTTATTTATAATTTTGAAATTTACTTTCGTTGTTAAAAAGGACATAACGATAAAAAAAATTAATTAAATTCTAATGAAAATTTAAAATTATCCGTATTTTTATTTTTTACATATTTATTTTTTTTATAGTAAAACAAACCCCAAAATTGTAATTTAAAAGTAAAAAAATTCCACAAACACTGTAAATAGAAAAGTAGCAAATCACCTACGATGTATATAAGGTTTACCCAAAAAAAATTATCTAATTATTTCTCATTTTAATTTAATAAAATAAGAAAGCAATAGTAAAGTGATCACGATTAATGCCAACCTCCCAAATCGCAATCGACGGGGTTCCACTCCAGCGTTGCACGAACATGCGTCGTATCAATGCTTATGCTGTCGGGAAATTGAGGATCTTGATACGTTGAGGTCATCGACCTTGGGTCAAACATGAAAGCAGATGTGCATCTCTTGCTGTATTCTTGCTTCCCAGGATTAATGATCTCTGTCACGGTTGCAGTGTATGAAGTGAGATTTTCAGGAATTACGGCATAGCAGCCACCTAATTTAGAAGCCTGGTGGTCACATCGCTGTTGTACGCAGCTAGCGAGGGGATCAGTTTGAATTTCGCGAGAAACAGTGGCCAATTTGCCGCAACCTGCTGAACCGAATACGTTGAATCTACTTGAGAAGAAAAATGGACTGCCTTTTAGGTTGACACTAGCACGATGAGTCGTGCCATTGTTTCCTTTATTGCTGCAATTGAGATAAGTTACAGGATTGTTGACGGTGACGCTGCTATCTGACCAAGAGGAACCGAGAAGCTCCAAATTGATGCGACTGATGAAAGGCTTTAGCCTATTAGCGGTTGTGTTGCAAGTTACTCTAAACCACGAATTTTTATAGCAACCAGTTCTTATTCCAAATGGGGATGGAATATAAACATCCCCACATGTTTCATCACAAACAGACTCGTATGCTTCTTGCGATGCTGCTGCTTGAATAAGCCATAGTAGCGGGATGAAATAAACGTCCATTCTCTCTTAATTTCTTCTACCTTCGATCGTTATTTCTTTCTATCAGGGATATTGATGAAGATTTTGCTGGCCGGTTAAGTCAAATAGATAAAGCCCGGCGTAGGCTCAAAGGTTAAAGAAATTCATCGGCTTTTGCGGCCCAGTTTCTACATTTGACCCCACTCAAAAGCCCCAGTTTTCTACATTTGACCAAAGCATTAACCATACTTTCGGTCCGCGGAATGTAATATAGGAAAAATGGACTTTATATTTTGGGAGAATGGAATAAGTATTATTAGTTTGATTGATTAGAATGTATTATTAATATTAATATTTTTGGTTAATTCAAAGAATATGAAAGCAATAAGTTCAAAAAATTATTTTATTTTTATAATTTATTATAATATTACAAATTAATAAAAATGAATAAAAATTCATAATAATTTAATATAAAAATAAATATTAATTTTGTTTCAACCATTTTATTTTTATAATTTATTATAATATTATAAATTAAATATTAATTTCGTTTAAGTCTTTCCCTTATATCAATCTATCTCCCACTATTAAAGTTGAAAAGAGTTTTCTTTCGAAAAATGAAATGGATACCCTTTTTTTTTTTAATGGATAGTTTTTTTTTTTAAAGAACTAAATAGATTAATGCCTCCTTAATTTTAAATATTTTATGATAATTTTATTTGATATTTTGGTCAATTTATTTTACTGGATTGATATTACTTGATTTGTTACATCAATTTTTTTTTAATTACAAAGAAAAAATAAAAAATAATAATAAAAATATAATAATATTTTTAAACCCCTAAAAAAACTCTATTCCCATGCATCAAAAGCTAAGATCTTAATGGAAAGAAATTATAAATTTTTAACATGAAAAAATATGAAGATAAGAAAAAAAATTACGGATACTAAAATTTAAATATAAATTTATTAATTAATTCTTAAAAATAATTGTATAAATAATTGAATTAAATTTGAAATTTAGTTATCATAAAATTTTAATATCTATATTCGTGTTATAATTCAATTTTGACAAAACATCAGTGCATCCATGTCAAAGGTTTTGTAATTGATAGAGATGTTTTTTTTTCCCTAAACATGGTTAGTGCTTTGGTGGGGGGTCAAGTGTAGGAAACTGGGGCGCCAGAGCTAAGAAATTTCGTTGAATCAATACCATGCTAAAATATGAACAAAATTTGTCACATGATACTTCAAACAAAATAGACACAAAAGTTTCATCCATATATTCTAACAATATATCATAATAAATACCGATTCAATAGGTTTATATATGTCGGGATTAGTAAATTCATGATTACTTATTTTTTATAATCTTTCAACAGATTCAAATTTAACCAATTAAGAAAATAACAAACTATCTTATCATTTAAACCAATGTCAGCTTATAATCTCTTTTGTAATTTAACTTGCCAATAAGCTAGCTATATATAGAATCAGACACATGGGAGACTCGTTGCAATATTAGCTGTATCTTTGCCTGTTTGAGCCTTTTGTCATCATGCGCTTTTATCTCCACAGATTGATATAATATTACATTTTTTTTTTATTTTCTTTTTACCAAACACATAGTTAATTAGGGGGCAATAACATATAGCAACATTACTTGTAATTATTCAAGATTGTAGGCTGAATGTTTTATCACAAGCATGCAAATTATATGCGTTAACCTCTATTAAAAGTTGAAAAGCATGTGCTAAACTTTCCATCTTTATTAGTTCTATATGTTTCTCTTAATATGAACAATGTTAGTGCCTTTGGTGGCGTGAAATTGCAAAATGGGAGCGCAACACCTAAGAAATTTCCCTGCAAGAAATTTCTCTGTGAGATTGCAATAGTTTTTGCCCCTGCAGAAGAATGGATTGCACGAAGTGAGTAAGAAATTATTGATGCTACAATGAAGAAACTTGAAAAACTCTTTCCTGATGAAATTTCTGCAGATCGGAGCAAAGCAAAAGTCGTAAAGTACCATATTGTTAAAACACCAGGTTTAGACTGAGCGCATTCATTTAGAATCTCTGTTAATACTTTTTTTTTTTTAAATCAAGTTCTAGTCATTGCTTGATGTATTATGAGTAAATTGCATATTAGTCATCATTTTAATGTTTTCGTAATGTTTTGTTTTTATTTACTGTGTAAAAAAGCTCAATACTTTCATTTGTAATCTTTTCGATTTGTTTCAAATCCATCAATCCGTCAATACCATGCTAAATATAAAAAAAAAAAATTTGTCACTTATACTTCGATAAAAATACACACAAAAGATTTCATCCATATATATATATATATAAATATAATATTCTAACAACTAATCGTATAAATACCAATGCAACAGGTTTATATATGTCTGGATTAGTAAATTCATGATAAATTTTTTTTATAATCTTTCAACAGATTCAAATAAAAAAAAAAAAAAGAAAAAAAAAACTATCTTATCATTGAAACCAATGTCCGTTCATAATCGCTTTTGTAATTTAGCTTGCCATCAAGCTAGCTATATAGAATCAGACACACATGTAAGACTCGTTGCAATATTAGCAGTATCTTTGCCTATTTGAGCCTTGTGTCATTGATCCGGTATTACTCCTTTCTTTTTTTTTTTTCACCAAACACATAGTAAATTAAGGGGCAATAACATATAGCCACATTAGTCGTAATTATTCAAGATTGGTGGGCTGAATATTTTATCACAGGCATGCTAATTATATATATTATCCACTATTAAAAATTGAAAAGCATGAGCTAAAGTTTCCATCTTTATTACTTCTAAATGTATCTCTTAATATGAACAATGTTAGTGCCTTTAGTTGGTGTGAATTACAAAATGGGAGCGCAACACCTAAGAAATTCCCTTGTAAGGCATCGATTTGGGAATTGAAAAAAAAATGAAAGTATTGAGATTTGAATTCATATTTATTAAATGTAATGTTTTATAGATGATTATATGAATCAACAGAATTAAATCTCAAACTCTCTCTGTGAGCCTTGTGGCATCATGTGCTTTTTATCACTTTGGATTGATTTAGTATTACATCATTTTCTATTTATTTTCACCAAATACAGTTAGATCTGGCAATCACAAAAATGGCATGTTAGAATTCGTATTAAAATAAAAATATGAAATACATTTTTTATTTTATTAAATTCATATATAGTTTTACTAAAATTTTAAACCATGTTACCTTTGTAATTTTTTCTTACTGTTTTTTTTTATTATGTCACTGTATCATGTTTTAAATCGATAAATCTACACATAATTAAGAGGCAATAAAATATAGTACTTGTAATTATTCAAGATTGGTGGGCTGAATATTTCACAAGCATGCAAATTAAAAATATTATCCACTATTAAAAATTGAAAAGCATGTGCTAAAGTTTCCATCTTTATTAGTTCTGTATGTTTCTCTTTATATGAACAATGTTAGTGCCTTTGGTTGGTGTGAAATTGCAAAATGGGAGTGCAACACCTAAGAGATTTCTTTGTAAGGCGTTAATTTGGGGATTGAAAAAAAAATTGAAGGTGTTGAGATTTTGAATTCATATTTATTAAATGCAATGTTTTATAGATGATTACATGAATCAAATTAAATCTCAAACTCTCCCTTTGAGCCTTGTGACATCATGTGCTTTCTATCTCCTTGGATTGATTTAGTCTTACATCATTTTCTATTTATGTTTACCAAATATAGTTAGATTTGGTAATAATAAAAATTACGTATAAAAATTCGTATCAAAATGAAAATATGAAATACATTTTTTATTTTGTTAAATTCTTATATAGTTTTACTAAAATTTTAAATCATGTTACATTCATAATTTTTTCTTATCGTTTTTTTATTGTATCACTGTATCATATTTTAAATTAATAAATCTACACATAATTAAGAGGCAATAAAATATAGTACTTGTAATTATTCAAGATTGGCAGGCTGAACATTTTATCACAAGCATACAACTTACACATATTATCCACTACTCAAAATTTGAAAATCAGCATGTGCTAAAGTTTCCAGCTTTATTAATTGTATATGTTTCTCTTTCTATGAACGATGTTACTGCTTTTAGTGATGTGATAGTGCAAAATTTGAGGGCAAGAGCTAAGAAATTTCTTTCAAACTTATATATATACATATATATATTAATTTTTGACACGTACGTAATGTTTATGTAATTTTTTTTAAAATTTAATTTAATAAATTTTTTTTATAATAATAATAATAATAAATTCTAACAGTTTATTTTTTATATTAGTATATATAAGTAAAATTTGATAATACTTGATATAATTTTGATTTTGATAACTTTTGATATGTTTTGTTAACCTTTGTTAAAAGTTTGTTAATTTTTAATAAAATTCTAGTAACTTTTGATACATAGTTGATAATTTTCAATATTATTTTGGTAACTTATGATATAATTTTTTTACCCATTAAAAAAAATTGATAATATATTTTTTTATAAAATGTTGATAACCTCTTAATGTAATTTTAGTAATTAACCTTTAATATAATTTTAGTAATTTATAATATACTTTTAATAATTATTGATAAACTTTGTGCCATCATACATCTAATAATTGATTTTCACAGCAAAGTGCGGGTTTCGTTTTTAATATAAAAGAATAAAATAATAGGTGCAGAGACATTACCGTCCCCCCCCCCTTTTTAATAAATTTTTTTTATACAAAAAGAGGCTAACTGATTAACTTCTTGTCTCCTCATTCGTGCATGTGACCACTAATTAATGATTATTGTTTTTATGCAGGAATATTACAATCCAAACAATCCACGTTGGAGTTAGTTTTTGCCTCTGCAGAAGAATGGATTACACGAATTGACTCAGAAATTATTGATGCAACAATGAAGGAACTTGCAAAGCTCTTTCCTGATGAAATTTCTGCAGGTCAGACCAAAGCAAATGTCGTAAAGTACCATATTGTTAAAACACCAAGGTTAGACTGAGTGCATTCTTTTAGAATCTCTGTC